TCAAGGGTACTCGTGGCAGTGTAGCCGAGTGGTTAGCGTGTCAAGCTATCGTCCTGCACTGTCGCGGTTCAAATCCAGCTGAGGGTGTTGATAAGACCAATGCGAGGTCGAAACTGCAGTCCACCCAGGATAAGAACAACTTTTGGGAAAGCAAGGCTATGTGAAATTCCATGGAAACGTCAGCTCAACTTATATCATTGTGGGAAAATTCTACTACCAGTCCTTCATTACCTTAGACGAAATAGGGTGAATACATCTCATTACAAAGATGTATCTAACAAGAGACAAAATATAAAATTCCCTGTTATCTCAGCTCTGGCAAAAATAATCACCTAACTAAAGTAAAAGCTAATATGTTAATTATTATTTATAAGAAGGTTTTTAATATAAGAGACGATATATATGTGAGAGTTCATTTTTGTTATAAAATGCTAAAATGCTAGTCCATGTGTAAGATTTATCCTTGCCCCGAATTTGGTTGCCTCCTCGCTCCTCTCCCGTGGTACTTTTGTTTTTTATCCTTATACCTGATATAGTAACCTTACTAGGTTTATCTAAAGATTATTATTCAATTATTCGATATTTCAATAGTTATTTTTTATTACAAGTCATTCAAAATTTTGTCTATTTTTGTTCGCAAAAGCCAAATACTTTCTATTTGTTAGTAGTAAAATTAATTGTCTTATTTGACTATTTTCAGCATTATACCCTCGATTCGCTTTAGTAATTTTTAACTTGCATTTATATAGAATTTATCCAATAGAAATGACATCCAAAGTTTCTTCCCCTTCTGAGCCCGGAGTAAAGATGGAGAAATCAATTGGACTTTTAAGCTGTATTTCGATAATTATTGGATCCGTCATTGGCTCGGGGATTTTCGTCAGTCCTACTGGCATAATCCGTAGTGTTAACAGCATTGGAGCAAGTCTTATTATTTGGGTTGTTTGCGGAATTTTTTCCACCCTTGGGGCCTATTGCTATGCAGAACTTGGCACAATGTCTAATCGATCTGGAGGGGACTATTACTATTTTCTGGATGCATTTGGCCCATTTTGGGCCTTCTTGCGGCTGTGGGTGGAAGTAATCGTTGCAAGACCTGCAACATTGGCAGTGATTGCGCTCACATTCTCTAAATATGTTTTAAAACCTATATATCCCGACTGTACTGAACCTGAGCTACCTTCAAGATTTATGGCTGCCTGCTGTTTAAGTAGGTTTTTTTTGTAAATTTGCCTTGTGCGTTACATTTTATTAGGTCTTTAGTGTTTAGACATTTTTATAATTAATTTAACGCAGATATATGCGATATTGTCTATGACGCTTGGTAAATAACTACTCGTAATATGGATCGAATTTACAGATCCGAGGATTTTATTATTTGATTCATGAAAATTTAGATGTAAAAAAATTATACACTTGAACTTACAATGGAATATAATAAGATAGTCTTTAGCTTTACACTGGATGTACATATGATAATGAAGCTTAATACTAATGCTCATCGATTCATGTCAAATAACTTAAATAAAGGGAGGATCTAGCCAGTTAATCTAGCAAAGGATGTGGTATATGTTCCACAATGAGGCTTAATTTCGACAATCATGCATACATTTATTGTAGGCTAAATTAGTGGACTAATGAACCGAAACATTACTTGATCT